ACTCCAATACCGAAAAACAGGAAGCACAGGAGTCACTAGTCCAAATAGTGATGGAATTCTGGGCAGGCATGAGGAGGAACTTTGTCATGACACTGAAGAAAATTTGTTGACTAGACCACGGATCTCTCTTTGGGAGGAGCTCCTTTGCTCATTGTTCTTTTTGGCCTCTGGTTTTTTCCATGGCTGTTCTTCCTTGTCCATTATCCTCTATGGCCATATTTGAAATAGCACTGTGGTCTATGTCTTCCTTGAGCACTGTACAGCACTCATAGTTCACTTTATTTGGATGCAAGTTTTGGGACATGAAGACTGTTGTGCAGTTTGAAGAGCCAAGGATTTATTCAGGCTAGGCTTGTGGTCAGCTTTTCAATATAATTCTCTCAAAAACTTAGTAGGTTTGTGATAGATGGGCCTCCAATCAATTCAGTTTGGCAGTAACCAAAAAGTACTTTTCTAAATGTAGTTTTTAAGCCTAGTTTATTTTTATCTCTCAACTTAGTCTTGAGGGCATCTGAAACAACACACTTGGAGATAATGACAACAAATTTCTCTCTTACTGTCTGGGGTCCAGAAGCTGCCGTCTTTTGCAAGTCTCTCTGATTCCTTCTATCATTGGTTACAAACTATTCAACTCTTGCCTGTGTTAAGACTTTGTTAAAAGGAGCTGGGGAACCATTTTTAGTAACATTTTAGTACTTTTTTCCAACTGATTCTGCTCAAGCTAAGGAGGCACATGATCTGCCTTCCAAATACCAGAGTGGCAGTGTAAAAATACCTGCCCAGCAAAATGCCCAGCTACCTTTTAAAAATAGCAGCCAGGAGTTAGCTAGAATATTAAATCTGACATTATAAACTGCAGATGTATTGCATATTCTCTGATTGCTTCACAATTGCTACAAGTTTTTGTTTGTAATTTCATTGAGAACAGTGATGGAGTCTTAGAATTTCCTTATGTCTATAACACAATCTCACAGCGCTGTCATTTCATGAACACTTATTGATTAATTTTATGCACAAATGCCTCTAAACAAACACAAATCACTTTTTAAAGGTGACTTAGATCTTTTCTCATTTTCCTACATTGTTTTTATCATTTTATAGTTTCATGTAGGATAAGACAACATAATTAAATTATACAGTAAAACCTGTGAAAGCTGGAAACTGCATAAAGTGGAAACTTGTCAGAGAAGGAAAACTCAAATATTTTCCACTAATAGAGAGCAACAGAAAAGCAGTAAGACTGCTCCCTGTCAAAGGCAGAAAAGTTTCGAGACCTGGGAAAACAAGTCAGTCGCATCAAGTTCCAGCTCTCACAGGCATCACTGTAGCTTGTTTGGAGCGTGAATAGGGGCAGGGAGAGCACTTTTTCACATATGTTTATTGATTCAGTCTTCATTCATTCAACTGACCTCCCATATGCCAAGAACTCCTTGCTTAGGATATAATGGTGAGTGTGTCTGTGTGTTCAAGGATATATGTAAGTCTTATGATTTTTAAAGAATATATTTCAAAATAGAAAATTAAGGTATACATCAATAATCACTGACTGAAACACATAAATGTCCACTTTATATATGTGATCATTCACAAGATCATCAAAGTGCTACTGTTAGTTATTCAAAGAAAGCTTGTAGAGTGTAGACTCCGCTAGGCTCAGTGTCAGAGATATTCCTATTAGCACTTACTAAATGTGATTCTTTGTTCTGGAATTTTTTCATTGATTATAATTCTCACTGAACAAACTTTCTGCTGAGGAGCTAACTAGATGGCCTTTCCAAGTAAGATCCAATTCAGAAAAGTTGCAGGGCTATGGTTACCACATCCGCTAAAGGATAGTCAAGGCCAATCCAGGGGCTCATCCAGGGAAGAACAGACAGTAAAGAAAAAGAATATATTCTAAAATTTTCCTACTCTGGTAATCAGTAGAGTCTACCAAAGTAAAATTATTTTATTAAGAGTTATTTGGCTTCAGGATAAAGGGTACATGACTCAGTATAGCACAGCTTCCACCAACACTCATCTTACCAAGACAAAGAACCTGTCCACTTTAGCTACTAAGCCAGTTCCAATAACATATGAAATTTTAAAGCAAGACACAAGTTATAGAAATATCTACAAAGCATTAATTCTTGAGTAATCATAAATTAGAGCTGAGTGCTTTATGACTCTGAAATATTTATCAATAGGTTCTATAGAAACAATCATATCTTAGTTGATATTTGTCAGTATTTGTCCATTACCTTAGCTTTAAAATTGGCATAATTCTTTTGTCCTTGAGGATGAAGGTGAGCTCTTGACATTGATGCTTTGTTTGAAATTTAAATAATTCTGGCATCAATCAAGAGTGATTTTGATCTGTCATGTCAATATCTACTGAGCATCAGTGAGAAGATGGCAACTGAATATCAGAGTCATGAGGAAAAGTCATCCAGTCAAAGGGTTTAAAATCATTCTAGGTACAGCTGAGTCTATTAGGAATCAGTTTTTCACCAGTGTTTTTCAAAAGACATTTGAAGATCTATTTTAGAATGGGTCATAGTCTTCTGTTAGGATCCTCATCAAAGCCAAAGGTTATACAAATTAAAATAAGATACCAGTGTTAAAATTCCAGGTAATCTATTATAATACTATTTATAAATTTTTGTCACATGATATAGAAACAATCAAATTAAGAGTCTATATTCTCAACTATGAAAGATAACAAAATGTTATAATCTAAGAATTAAAATATAGCTTAAATTGTCACCATTTTAGGTAGAAATAGTTCTAAAATGTGTTACCCAGAGTCATGTTTCCTCATATGGAGTATACAAACATTATTTAGCCATATCTTCATAGCTCAGGCCCATTATGCTATTTACCCATTAATTTCCTGTATTTGTCAAGGTCTAGTCAGGAGACAGAATGTACACTTATTATTTTAACAAGGAAAATTTAATATGCAGGATTGTTGACTAGGTATAAAGTTGTTAACTAGGTAACTAATAAAGGAAAAAGAGAATGTTAAGGTTTCATGAAGAAAGGCACTATAAGCAGCAGCTACCACCCCAAAGATTGAGGCAACAAAGGAAATATGATGGAACTATTAAAACTTAGAACCTTGAAGAGGGGCCTGCAGAACTGAAACTCAGTTGTCTTTGGAGGAGGTACTTGTCAGTTGGTATTGGTGTTCCTATGCTGGGGGAGGGGCGGTGGAGAGCTTGCAGGGGTCAGAACCTAGACCTCTAAGAAGGGGGTGCCAGTCAGCTGGGGCTAGTGTCTCTGAGGAGGGCATGATGAGGCTGTTTCTGCAAGTTTTGGGAAAACTGCCAATTAGATTCAGTTGCTGTGATGAGATGGCACTTATCCTGAGCTGAAGTGTTGATGGGCCCATGCTCACTGGAACTACGAGTACCCAAGAAGCCAATCAGAAGCAGAGAAGGCAAAGCACTTCCCTTCTTCCTCCTCCTGTCTTGCAGTCTCCTGCTAGAATCCTCTACTGACAGAACCTAATGGAGAGTCCGTTGGCAAAGCAGAAATGTGGTTTGCGGAGTTCCAGCTCCAGCATCACAGAAGCACAGTATAGAAGGGTGAATTTGGTGGTGAGAGACAATAGCTTAATAACCGGCACATGACCTCAGGAGACAATCAAATTATACCGTTTCATGAATTTTCTCAGAAAACCTATTAACTTTTTGCTAACACCTACTTTTCTCCCTCTTCTAAATATGTTACTCATGATTCAAGAAAAGTGGAGAAAGATTCTAAGGGACCTGTTTTACATCTGTCCACTTTGAGAGTCAGTCTATCTTTCTCTTACAAAATGAATTATAGTGTTCTGTGACAATTGTTTCCCTAAGTTTTCAGGAGTGATTATCACTTATATTTAGGAACTGGGTATTGTTTCAATGATAAAAGTTGTCAGAGTCTGACTGATGATACATAGTCTCTTAGCTGAAGCAATCAAGACATTTTATAGTAGATAAACTTGTCTCTTTGCATCCTATTTGTATACCTAGCAAGATGTAACAATCCAAAAATATTTGAACATGACAGGAATTAGGATAGTTTAAACAGAATGAATTTGTTCTGAATTAAGATCAAAACATAAAAACATACCTCTACATGATACTGTATAGACCATTGTACACAATAAATTGCATTTATTCTTGAATTTGTGGATTTCCAGGAAAAAACTTAATTGAAGAAAAGGGTACAATGTATCCAAATTAAGCACAAAGCAAGTACTTATTTTCATCATATTTATGTCTATTAAACTGTTAGTTCCATAGTATGGAGAGTTGGCATGACTAAGTAAGTGAGAACTAAAAACTTAACTCTAAATAAATAAATAAATAAATAAATAAATAAGTATTTGTTTCTATCCTGCCTAAAATAATTTCTCAATGAAGCAGTTCTAATCTTATTACACAGGCTTCATCTTGACACTTATGCTTTGAAAGGAATTACTATATTAACATAGATTAATGGAGTTAGAAATAGATTTTGCAGAGATTATTTAAGTAGCTCTCTACAATTTTATCAACTAACAGTTTCTTTATAATAGTTATCAGTGGTGGTATTGAGAAGGAAAAAAAAAATTACACTCACTCCTCACTTATCAACATGGTTAGGTTCCAAAGACCAGGTCATTATGCAAAAATTGTTGTTATGCAAAAATGGAGCATGACCGTATCAGATCACAAAATGGAGGATGACCATATCATTACCTCACTGCCAAATTACATCATTATAAAACTGTCTAACTACTGAGAATCATGGCCCAGTCAAGATGACATATAACCTGAACCATCACAGACAGCATTACTCTTGCCTCACACCTTGGCGTTCATTACTGCCAGACGTATGTTGTTAATGTGCAGAATAGTAGGATAGCAGATTTTTTACTATTGTCATAAATGCGAAATGTTAGATAATGAGATAGTCCATAAGTGAGGAGTAAGTGTACTCATGTGTATTTTTCAAAATAGAAGGTCAATAATGTTTAAAATACTTCTTACCTATTAACATCCCAGATTTTACTAGTTTTATCCAGTGAGGAAGAAGCCACAAAATCGCCACAGGAGTGCCACGTGCAAGACCACACTGCATGGTTGTGTCCTTCAAAGGTCAAAATGCAATCACCTTTACACAGGTCCCATAATTTAACTGTAGTGTCACCACTTGAAGTAGCCAACTTGTTCCCACTATTTGCAAGAACATAAAAAAGATATTTTGTTAAATAATTCATTTTTATGAATGATCTAATTCTTTAACTTGTGTATGTGTTATTTTTATTTTTAGTGACATATCTAAATGGCTAAATCTTATTATCTTATTTAGATCTACACAATTAGATACTTACTTAAATTGCTTAACAATTCAAATTGATGAGAGAAACTGCTGTTGTGCATCACTTCTAGATTAATTCATTAATTCAGTATTTTTAGTATGTGTTCGGTTTAGGTAATGTGGTAGGTTCTGTGGATGATGTGGCCTCAGAATAATTAAAATTTAGACATGAACTAAGGCAATTTCAATAACATAATACAACACAAATCAGTAGGTCAACATTGCTTAGGAGTGAATTAATTAAAATCTCCATGAGTGCTGTTTGGATGATAAAGGAAGAAAGGTATCAGGAATGAGGTGGCTTTTGAGCTGGATCATGAGAGAAGAAAGGGATTTTGAAGTGTTGAGTGGTTGATGAAGTCACTGAATTTGCCATCTGAGTCTGCTGTAGATGTTAAAAAAAGCAGAGGCTTTCAAGTAGTGGACACGAAAGCTAGTTTAAAAAATGGGTGGGTGCGGTGTCAATGACATAAGCACAGATAGATCTATGGATGTTTGAAAACAATTAGAACTTGGTGAAAATACAACATATTAAAACTATGGAATGAAATGTAAGCATTATTTTGAAGGTAACTTAATTTTTTCCTGCCTGTAATAAAAGTTGTTGGGCTAAGCATGCAATTTTAAAGCTAAGGAGAAAATGCTATAGAATAGTACAATGGAAGATTAACAAAGATCAAAAGTCGTTCTTTGAAATGGCTAATAAAGTAAATAAATCACTGCTAAGACTGAAAAAAAAAAAAAAATACAAAGTACCCCTCCAAGCTAATATCTAATATCTGGAAACCCTGGTGGTGTAGTGGTTGAGAGTTCAGCTGCTAACCAAAAAGTCGGCAGTTCAAATCCACTAGGCGCCCCTCAGAAACCCTATGAGGCAGTTCTACTCCGTTCTATAGGGTTACCATGAGTCAGAATTGAGTTGAAGGCAGTGGGTTATTGGGTTTGTTCTATTGTTTTCTTGTATTTTACAAGGTAGAAACTAAAGAGTTTAAAAAAGAGTAAAATAATGTAATTCTTTCCATTAATTTTGTTGTTTTGGAAATTACACTTAACATTTGAAAAAATATACGTGTTAACAAGCAATTAGTTTATTATAGTTATTTGAAATACACTAATAAATATATATAAATTCTCTAAGTTTTAATGTATAGTACAATAAATATCATTGGATATCACCCCCATATAAACAAAATCTATTTGGGGTACTTAATAATTTTTAAGATCATAAAAGGGGTCCTGAGGCCAAAAGTTTGATAAATGATGTCTTACAGAACCTTTTGCACATGCACTCTAGAGATAAAAATAATGTTCATTGCAGCATTGTTTGTATTAGCAAAAATTGGAAACATCAAAATAACACAACAGTAGCATGGATAAATAAAATATAAGTCTCACAAATGGAGATTATAGAGTACTGGAAATGAATTAACTACAGCTGCATACAACCATGTAGTTAAAATGTAGAAACACAATGCTGAAGGGGAAAATAAGATGCAGGTGACCTATACACTGTAAAATATTTTAATGAAGTGAAGATCATATAAATATTAAATATGTATGCATATATATGTAGATATGTGCCTATGGAATAATATTATCTTTAGAAAAGCAAGGTAATTCACAATGTTCAGGTTGAGTCATTACTTCCAGATGCTAAGTAGAGGAATAGATCAAGAAAGAATAAATACTGTAGTTAATTTCTATCATATAAGTAATTATAGCTATTGATCAGCTATTGCTGTGTAACAAGCTACTCCAAATGTCAATGTCTTAAAACAACAACAATTACTTTTTCTTGCTCATGGTTTAGTTCAGGTGAGTGACTTGGCTTCACCCTGGAAGGTAGGGTGGCTCTCCTTCCAAGTGCAGGTCTGGGATTGAGTCACAAAGTGCAGCAGCTACTCAAAGGCAGCTCTTCTCATGGCAGTGGAAGACTATATGAGAGCAAGCTCCATCATGAGAGCACATCCCAAACGTTTGTTTGCCTGACATCTGCTAACATCCCATAGGCTAAAACAGGTCACACGGACAAGCCCAAAGTCTAGGGATGGGAAAGGTACACCTTCCAAAGAAGTGAGTGAGTGAGAGATAACTATTTTTTAAATAATATTTTATTGTCTTTTCAGTGAAAGTTTACACAGCGAATTAGGTTGCCATTTGACAATTTCTACACAACTGTTTAGTGACACTAAGTTACATTTGTCACAATGTGTCAACATTTTCATTAACTGTGTTCTGGTTGTTTCATTTCCAGCACTCTAGTGTCCCTGTAAGAGATAGCTATTTTTTAACTATAATTTGCCACAATAATTTTGTTCTATTTATAGACTAGAAGGTGGGTTTCTACGGCATTTGTTTTATTTTTTATGATATATTAATCAAATGTATTTGTCATATTTTCTGTCTTACATAACAAGTATTTTATAATACAATTAAATATAGAATTATATAAGAAAAAGACAGACAATTTTGACATAAAAAAGCTACAGATGTTGATTTTGTTGGTTTTCATGGCTTAATCAGAACATATATAACTATACATAATAGTCACAAATTATTCAAGTACACATTTAGTTAACTTATGTCCAAGATATTTTAATGAATCTTTTGCAGCAGAGAAAAAATATGAAATTACTGCTAATTATAAAGCATGTTCATATTGTCATTCTCATAAAACTATCACATATCATCATGTAAATACAGTTTATAGACTAACTTAACTCAAACACTATGACTGTCAGCAATTGGTAGTTACTTTACCAGCATATGACATTCAAAACCGTATGTTGCTTACTGATTATACATTCCTATGGACTAAATGCATATTCAAATTGCATCCATCTCTCCATTGAGAGTTTTTAATTTTTTATAACTTCTTATCATAGCCTTGGAAGAAGTACAGCCAGAATGCTCCTTAGAAGCACGGATGGTGAAACTTCGTCTCACATACTTTGGACATGTTTTCAGAAGGGACCAGTCCCTGAAGAAGAACATCATGCTTGGTAAAGTTGAGGGTCAATGAAAAACAGGAAGACCCTCAACAAGATGGACTGACATAGTAGCAGCAACAGTGGGCTCAAACACAGCAGCAATTGTGAGGATGGCACAGGACCAGGCAGTGATTCATTCTGTTGTACATAGGGTAGCCAGGAGTCGGAACTGACTCAATGGCACCTAACAACAACACATCGTTGCTCTTCTTGCTAAATTCTCCTCAGTTTTCAAACCTATTCAGTTGTTCTTTCCCACTTTTAAATTTCACTGCTAATTCCATCAGTACGTAGTCCCTCTGGAGGCTGCCTTTCCTATGCCTCCCAATCCCACCCCCACTTCCTATGGAGTACATTTCTAGTCTAATAATGCTTTATACCATAAGCTACTTTGTGCTCTGAAAAGATTTTTTGCATCTTATATACAGTCCACAAATAAATCATAACAAGTTAGGGTCAAGCCAATTTATACTTTGCAAGCAATAAGCATTAATTACCAATTATTTTTAGAAATACACTGTATTTCCTGCAATTGCTTTGTTGTACATTTTGAATGTTTTTATGCAAATTTTTGACATTTTCCAGACTTTAGCATATACATGCAGAAATATTAGAATTTCTTACTATTGAAAATGACTTAGTTTTCAGAACTAAATAGATTGTAGATTCTAGATTGATGTTAATTGCTTTTTTTTTTAGAAATGTGCTGAAGTGTTTCATGGGGGTGGGGCAGAAGGATCCAAAGCCTCTTGTGTCACAAAGCAGGAATTATAAAGTGTAGAAGCAAGATTTCATTGGCTTCTCATTCTGGATCTGATAGACAACCCACATGACCTTGGACAGGGCCTTTGACATTTACATTTAACATCTCTGAAACTCATTGTCTGTATCTGAAAATATGGATAACAAATTCTGCTAACTATACCTCAGAGGATTGTTTTGAAGATTTAATAAGAGAATGGTTACAAAAGTACATTTTCAATTTTTGGTTATTATTCAAACATGAGATTATTTTTTAAAAGGTAATCTTGTGATCTTCAGTTCAGTTCTCATATGGAATTGCTTATACATATTTGCATAATTAGTGGGATGAGATCCAATCACTACTTTTGTATTGTAGTCCCATTTACAGGTACCTACCTACTCAACAGGAGTCCTCGTATTTGACTTTGTGAAAAGACTATAAATTGAAATGTTTTCAGTTATCATATAATATGTCTTATTGATTCATGTAGTGGTATAACATACTAACAAAATCTAATGAAATGAAATTAAAATAACTTATTACATTGTCTTTGTACAGTTAAAAGATGTAACTTTGGTTTCACTGAGCTCATAAAATGATGTTAGAAAAACACACTTAAAATTTATATTACTTGAAAAACTTTAATACATTTGAGATAAATTTAGTCTACACAGTGTGTGAGAGTTACCCCCAAAATCTTAACCATAAATTGAGTTGAAACAAATGGGCTGAGAATGCTTTCATACAAGTGTCTCTAAACCTTTAGCCTTTTTTTTTTTTAATTGTGGTAAATATGTTTGTAACAAAACTGTTGCCATTTCAACAACTTTCACATGTGCAGGTTACTGACATTGTTCTCATTATGTTGTGCAACCATCACCATTATTTCCAACCTTTTTTTTAAACACCTTTAAGCTCAGTATATCCTAAACAGTGAGTCCTCTTATCTCCCACACCCCCACCCACTCCTGGCAATCACTAACAACCTTAGATTCTATGTATATTACGTGGTACATGCATACAATGGAATATTACTCAATCATAAAGAGAAATGAAGTCCTTATTCATGTTACAAAATGGATGAACCTTGCAAACATCATGCCGAGTGAAATGTCAGTCA